TGCTAACTGTGACTGAGTTGACCTAAGGCTATAGGCTGGTGTCTGAGAAACCCATTTGGGATGCTGAGAACTGTTAGAACTTGTGTTGTTTAACTATAGAAACCCTCCTCACAGTAGGCTCTAGATGAAACTCCTGTAAAGTGTCTAAGAGAAGAACACAGGTGAATTGTTAAGTTTGAGAGGGAGCTAAACTATGAGTCTTAGGAGACTAGAGTGGTTCTGAACAGGTGTAAGTCCTTCCAGCACAGTTGCAACCTTGGAAGAGAGAAGTGAATAACAGAAAATGTACTTTGTAAAGTGTACAATGAATGATCTGATACAGAAGACAACAAAGACTAAGACTATGCCTCATGCTAGAGGACTTTGAGACAAGAGACAAGAGCTAAATCAATGGGTGAACTATCTGAATTCCTCCTGTATCTAGTACATGAGTAGCTGTATTTATAGTTTTCTGAGTTCTAGAAAAGTATAGTACTAACAGGGAAATGTCATGACTGAACAAAAGAAAAATAATGAAATATACAAGAACAAATAAGAGAACCTTTTGCCAGAGGTTGGAAGAAAATGGGGTGAAAATGTATGAGGAAAATTTAAGTGGTCTGTATTCTAGCTACAGGAAATGTTATACAAAAGAGAAAAGCAAGATTTTTATTGAAAGAAGTAGAAGGTTCTTATACCATTATTATCTGATTGGTACAGACAAAGTGTGGAGAGTTCCAAGATTTCTGGCAGTCTCCTGAGATCAACACTTTGATTGCCCTAATGTTCTATCTGATTGGAAGATTGTAGTACTTTAATCCAGGTAATAATGATGTAATGGTTTGCTGAGCCACTTGCTGTAACACAACTTGTGTTCTGAGCCTATAATAAGCACATGATCTGTACATTCTGTAAGGAAAACAATGTGTGTAAGCCAATTCTGAGACTGTGTACACTTACAGTTCTGTTTACAAATGCTTACAATGTAGAATAGTTGGGTGTTCTCAGAGTAGGCTTCTATGAGTCATGTAGGTGTTCAGAATTGATTACTATGATTGTCTGTATGTGATGTACAGTTCTTAGCATAATGCTAATCGTTTTAGTACATAGTAGATACTAAGCTAGTACACAGAAAGCTCAAGTTCCTTATCTACTAGAAGGGATACCTAGTTGAAGAACACACTTGGGAACCTGCTGAGAATCTTACTCATACTACTAAGACAATCCAAGACTTTTATCAACTTTATCTAGGTGCTCTGTGTCAACTCTGCCTTATAGATTTCCAAACCCTACTGTTCTGACCTATGCCTGAGCTACTAACCAAGCCTAATGTTTACTAATTAGGGTGATTGGTTTTAGAGAGAGGGTAATGTTACAGTCCTCTGCTCTCATACTTTTAGTTCTAAGGGTTCTACACCCTTCTATACTGGAACTCAGGACTTCCATCCCTTAGGAGTACTATTTATAGACTATATGTATACTAACTCTTACTACTACCCTTCCTTACTTCATCATTCTATTCCTTTGACCACCCCTTCATTCTTTGTTCATTCTATAGTCTCTTACCCTTTGTCCATTCCTTCATTCTTTGTACCTTTATCTTTGATCTTCCTTTCTTTCATTCTTTGTGGCCTATCATTCTTAGTGACTCATACTCTCTAAGTACTCTTATGTAGTTTAGTATATGTAGGTGTACAAGATCAGACTGGTCCTGTAGTCTTGATCTTGTCTACTCTAGGTAGTCCTGTACTCTTAGGCTTACTCTATATACTCTACTCTTGTCTTACTCTCTCTCTCTGCCTGTTCTGCAAGTTCCAACTACATTCTAGTACTTACATTCTGTATTTCTGTTGTGTAGGATAGTTGTAGCCTGAGTCCCCTTGCTGAGCCTTCAGGTCCCCTCTACACTGTTACTAACACAAACTTTAACTCCTAGTAACTTAGAAGTGTATACACCTAGTGTTTAACAAGGTTCTGTTGTTCTAGTACTATAATCTAGGTTTTCCTTTATAACAAAAACTCTTACTACCTCTACCAGAACTCATTAGTTCTAAACCAGAATACAAAGTAGAGTATATAGTAGATACTAAGCTAGTGTATAGAAAGCTTAAGTTCCTTATTTGCTAGAAAGGGTACCTAGTTGAAGAACACACTTAGGAACCTACTAAGAATCTTACTCATACTATTAAGGTAATCTAAGACTTCTATTAACTTTACTTAAGTACTTTGTACCAACTCTACCTTACAGATTTCTAAACCCTACCATTCTAACTTATGCTTAAGCTACTAACTAAGTCTAATGTTTACTAATCAGGATGATTAGTTTTAGAGGAGGGGTAATGTTACAGTTCTCTACTCTTACACCTTCAGTTTTACAGGTTCTACACCCTTCTGTACTAGAACTCAGGACTTCTGTCTCTTAGGAGTACTGTCTTTAGACTATATACAGACTGACTCTCTCTATGACTCTTACTACTATCCCTCCTTACTTCATCATTCTGTTCCTTTGTTCACTCCTTCATTCTTTGTTTATTCTATAGTCTTTTACCCTTTATCCATCCCTTTATTCTTTATACCTTTATCTTTGACCTTCCTTTCTTTTATTCTTCATAGCTCATCATTCTTAGTAGCTTACTATTCTCTGAGTACTCTTATATAGTTTAGTATATATAGGTGTACAAGATCAGACTAGTTCTGTAGTCTTGATCTTGTCTACTCTAGATAGTCCTATACTCTTAGGCTCACTCTATATACTCTACTCTTGTCTCACTCTCTCTCTCTGTCTGTTCTGTAAGTTCTGACTATGTTCTAGTACTTACATTCTGTATTTCTGTTATGTAGGATAGTTGTAGCCTGGGTCCTCTTACTAAGCCTTCAGGTCCCCTCTACACTGTTACTAACAGTTTACTTGGATCTTTCTTCCAACAATGTGTACTTTCAAACTGTAGAGTATCCTCTAATTGTTTAAGCATTCTTTTAGTAGCTTCTGAGTGTTAAGAACATACTTTCTAATACATTCATTTAGCTAACTTGTCTCCAGTTAGTTTGGATAGATTGATTGTGTCCAAATCAATGTTTCCTTCATGTTCCTGATACATACTATTGTACTTATGAGTTCTCTTATTCAATTCCTCAATATTAATTCCTTGATTAAATGTACTAGCTAGCCTACTTATAGCTTTTAGTGTCTCTAGCCTAGGAACATTTCTGAATGTCTTTCTAGCCTTCTGGAACATTTCCTACTGTAAGGAAAGTGTTGTTCCTTTACTAATACTCTTGTTCTTACTGACAGAATCCTTAATACCAGTTTTCTGAGTATTTATACTCTCTATACTACTATTGTCTACTTCTGTAAGCCTAGTAAGGTAAGTACTTGCTAGTGTCTACTCTACAGTGTGTATCAGTCTAACAATATACACTAGTATAGGTACATGCCTTTGTTCTACATTACTTGTATGTAATAGTTCATTAGGGTGCCTCTAGCCTTATGTAGACAAGAACTTATCACCTAGCAAAGGGTCATTAGATTGCCTCCAGCCTACAACAGACAAGGACTTATTCTCTAACATGTTAATAGTAACTTCCAGACTTGGGGGCCCTTCCAGGATTGTCTACTAAGGCCTAGTAGCTATATTGTGTTTAGTACTCAACAGATAATCTTGTTGTCTATTGTCTGTATACTCTGTTAATTCAAAATCTGTAGTGTACACTGTTTTGAATCTCTCTACATTCAGGGAAAGCTACTCTTTAGTACTTCCAAATGATGCTTGCCTCTTACAATATTGACAAGGAGGTCTCTCTGTATTGAGGGGAACAATCTGTTCATGTCTCTCAAGTGTTCTGAGTATCTTAGTAGTTATAGTAAGAGTATATGTGTCTCTAATTTAGATTTGCAAACTACTCACTTGTTTCTTTGAATTCAAAGGAGTACTGAGCAATGTGAGGAACATATTAGAGTGATCAAGCCCTCAGTTCCAGTCATTAAAGCCTAGCAGGTTTATAGAAAGATGGGTTCAGTCAAAAATGTGTAAGGATAGGTATACTAGCCTTACATAAAGATTCTCTCTTTACTAGCACACTCGACTACTGACTGGGATAACCTAGTAATTGAGCACTAAGAAGGAGAAAGAATCCCCTAACCCTTAGCTTGAAAACCCTTTATATATGCATATACATGTGTAGTAGGATACAGGGTAGTCTAGTGAACAAAAAGGAAAACACTCATAAGCACCTACAACACATGTTGCACAAATGCACAGGTAGTGCAATTGTTACACCAGCTTAGAGGCAGTTGTAGTCTAGCTTCAGGACTTGTGTTGCAAGGCTTGTGCTGAAGCCTCAGAATTGTGTCAGGAAAACCACTACAGTGTCTAGTCTGTAGATTATGTAGTATATACAAAAATATATTACTTTTGTACTTAGATACAAAGAATAATACTCTAACTCATCTCTTAAATTTTTTTTTCTCTCAGGTCCGGTTATGGACCGGTCCAGAACCAGACTGGAACTTGGGTCCAGTCTACTACCCGTCCACATAGGTCCGGTCCCCAGTCCGGGACACTCCCGGACCGCAGATTTGGTCCAGTCCTGAGTCCAGGTGAAGTATGCCCGGACCGGACCAGGACCGGACTTCAGCAACTATAGTACATTGATGTAACTCCTTGGACCTCAGTTGAGGCGTCCGACTTAGAAAAGCAAAGTATACACATTTAGTTAGTATCCTGCTGTTAGCTGCAAGAGAAAACACACTACAAGCAGCCCCCAAAGGAGGAAAAACGAAAATTTGATCTTGCAAAGATGAAAATTCCAGGTGCAAATTCCTTCCTTCCTCTTTACTGTGTGTGTTACGTTAACGATCTTCCCCTTCTGTTGGCATGCCAAATCAAGAATCTACCCGAAGAACAACACTAGTCTATCGCCCACACAAAAATGAAGGGACTCGTCAGAGCCCTCGCATGCTTCCATGTCCTAATCACCCACGCAAAATCACACAAATAACCATCTCCTACATCGGCTGGGGAATCTTCCTCGGTGGCGTCAATGCTGCTTGCAAACCTTTTCTTCTCCAAAACTCTATTACTCATGTCCTGTCTCTCGGGTGGAAACCTCTGGAAGACTTATCTCCAGAAATCACAGTAAAGTATATTGATATCGCTGATACAGAAGAAACAGACATCACCATGATACTCGACGAGGCTTGTCGCTTTATCGATCTGGGCACAAGAGGAACGAACAGGATCTTAGTACATTGTCGACTTGGACAGTCACGGTCTGCTACAGTAGTTATATTCTACTTGCATCGTTGTAGAGGTCTGACAACGTTCCACGCATTCTTCTTCGTTGCCTACAAACGTCCACATATCTGGATCAACAAAGGCTTTCAGAGATACCTCATAGCTGAATCTGCCAGGGAGAAAAACAGTAAAACAAAACCCCAACATTTCTTCCTACCTGGCGACGGCTTTGACAAGCTCTCCACCAGAATTCGTAAAAACAATGCCTATCTGAAGGCAAACAGGGAGAAATTAGAGAAAGAGCTCGGACTGTCACTCAAAGTAAATAGAGAGGAGAGTAGGGCTAGTATTAACATCGACTTCTCGACTGAGGAGTGTAAGACCAGGTGAGTCATACTTCATTCTACTAGCAATCAGTCACTCACATAGTCTCCTGCTTCCAGACCAGATGAAGATGATTACTGAGTGAGCTTGAGCCAAAGGTGAACACATTCGGAGTGATTCCAAAACATTTTGTTTCGACTGTCAGAAAGTTACATCCAGGATAGCGTAGAAAATACACGGAAAGCATACACAACAAGTGAACAGAGGAACATACAAAAGGTACAAAAGAAGAAAGCGTTCGGATCAATACGCAGTAGAGTCCTGTAATCTCCACCTCCTCAATGGTCCCAGCCACCAAATTGACCAGTTTTCTCGCGACGTCGGTGGTGGAGGTGCTCGTTGCCTCTGCCCACCCCTCGATGGCCTCCTCTCCCTTCCTGCCTCCTCCCCGTCCAAGTCATCTTCGTTATGCGTCTGAGTGTGCGAGACCAAGTCCTCTCGATCTTGTAATTCTGCCAACTCATTCTCCCTCCTCTCCCTCTCTCTCAATCCAAAGCTTCCAAGTCCCCACCCAACAACGTCCGTATCTGCAGCTTCTGGTGATGCACCGGACGTTCTTGCAGCAGCAGCCACCTCGTTTCCATATACTGCCCGTCTTAAGCGCATACGTTCGAGTGCTTGACTATGCGCTGCAGTAAGATGCGCTCTGCGTAGAAGGTGGTAGAAGTGCGAGAGGGCGAGCATGGGAGGTGTTGCGCGGAGTCGGGACAGTATATTACTCGGCCCAGCCTCCGTCGTCGTCGATGAGCTCGCCGTAGTTGACGCAGACGATGCTTCCGCAGCTTGGGTTATGTTGGGTCCTCTTGAATGATCCGTCATCTCAATTGCTTCGCCTTCTTCAATAGGAATAGATCCTGGATGCGCTGCATTTACTCTTCGATGAAACCTCAGCGTCTCACTTGCGTTTCTCCACAGCGCTTGTGCCTTCTCCTTCCTTACTGTCCTCCTTGCTGCACGCGCCTTACGCTTCCTCTCTCTCCTTTCCTCCCTTCGCAAGAGCTCCTCGACTTCACCCACGCCTCTTCCACCGCCTACCCACCACCACCATCCTAGGAAACTCTGCCATAGCACTACAGCCCAAATCAAGCTCGGCAGCCAGAGATACTGATCCTTTGTCGGGATGTAAAGAAAGTTAAGAGCGGTAGAGATGATTGCAAGCGCCAGTGCTGCACCGCCAAATACGGCCGTCCCACCGTCTGTACGCCAAGCTTGTTTCCGATTGATCGCGAAACCCCAGAGGAACAAAGCAGCAGTGAAGAGAAGCGAAAGTGCAGCGTTACAGGTGTTGCGAATGGTATCAGCGACGTCGACTGTCGTTTGATTTTGGTGTATGGGAAGGAGCTCCATAGATGCCGACAGTAGCGCAAGTGGTCCTAAGAGGAAGAGAACGAGGCGCTGTTCGAGCCTGGACGGGTAGAGTAGCGTCAGGAACTGGATATGTGTAATCTATTTGGACCATTGGTATCAAGAGCAAATGAAGGGTATTGTAGTTCGGTGAACACACCTGAACAAGTGCGGACGTTGTCGCATCCATCGCATACCACCCCGCCAACTCGGCCGTCGTCCACGTCGGTGAATCTGTCACATTCAGATCCGTGCTATTCCCACTCAAGCTTGCGATCGGCGGTACATCCTTTGCCAAATAGTTGATCATATATGGCCATTCCTGTGTATCCATAAATGCACTATTTAGCACCACGAACAGCGTCGCGATCAACGAAATCAAGAGGGAAAGTACGCCAGAAAGCTGGAGAGCATAGTTGAGTGGGGCGAGTGGCCAGTGATATTGCGCTGTAAAGAGGAGGTGGAACAACAGAACGCAGGTGAGGGCGAGGACGATGCCATTGAGGAGGATCTGGACAGGCAGAGAGCTGGCGAAGGAAGGCTGCATGGCGAGCACCGGGTTTTCATCAAAGCCGTCGTCATTGTCGGCAAGGACGCCTTGTACATTGTACGCAACGAGTGCTAACAGAGATGCCAGCCATCGTCGACCCATTATATGTATTGCCGACGACTGTCGCGCTCTCGTCGTCGGGTCGTGCACGACTGAGAGACAGACTATGGGGTACGAGAGGAAACTCCCGAGCCACATGTGGAAATAGTTTCCCACAATTCGTGAAGGCATGGCAAACCTCACGTGGCCAGGAAAGGTTTTGAATAGATGGATCGTGATTTGGAATGACGATTACATGCATGTAGCGTGTTGAGGCGAAGGGAAGGGACAGAGCTATGTTCATTGTACTCATGCTTCTATCTGAAGTTATTGTTCAAGGTATTTCAATGTACATGAGGAGACTCTTCCTCCCTTTATTAGATAATATATTTGATCTCTGGCCATTGCCTTACTTCACATGAATAGAGTCGTTTTGGGCATATGATCCATCTTTCCTTACTCTCTTCCAGACAAACTCAGAGTTAATGAGGTTCATATGGAAAACTTTACACTACAAACAGGTGTTAGGACTACTTCTGGCATGAGACAGTACATACATAGTATGCACCCTTTGAATTCTCAATAGTGCAATAGTATAGGGTCCTTTTAGCAATCTGCTGCAGGCACTGTTGGTGGAACATTCAGAACTTAGATGCAATTGTTACATAGAGATGGAAGCTTCTAATCACAAGGACACAGCCTGCCTTATATAGCTTTTTGTGAAGTGTGTCCTGTATTAGTACACTGCCCCTAGTCAGTAATTGAGTGTACTAGTAAAGAGAGAATTTTTGTTGTAAGGCTAGTATACCTATTCTTACACTTGACTTCATTCAGAAAGGGCATAATAAATATGAAAGTCTCTGCACATGATGAATTATCATATTATGTAATCTATTGCCACGATTTTCAGTGCCAAAATGTATTGTTCCACTTCTCTGTCGTCCAGTATAAATGCAATCTCAATCTATAGGCTAATGTAAAGTCACCAGTGATCATGGGCACATATAGTATGATATACTGTTTGCTGTTCTGCTATTGGCAATTGCTACACAAGTCCCCTGTAACAAACAACTGTTACCAAGGCTAATTCTATAGGCTTGTGACCCTGCTGCATAACCTCAGGTTCATCACCGTCCCGACCATGTTGAGAGCTTCAGTCAGGTGGTCTGTTCTTCGTCCTCGTCTACTACCTCTCATCGTCACTCGTTAGCAATTGTCAGCAAAAATGTCTGTAGAATCCGCAAAGGAAAAGGCCAGGACAGACGAAAAGTACCAACTATACTGTCCGTATATACCTCGCGTTCATGTCTTAAGTATGGCATCTGATGCGCTCACAGACGGGCCTAGTATCCCGGGCCGCGGTGAGCCGATCCGGCTCGCTTTTGAGGAGGCCGGTGCATCTTATGAGGAGGATATGGCCTATACTCAGAGTGGCACACTGACGAATTTGCTTAAAGACGAAACTCACTTTGCCCCACCGATCCTTCGCCATGATGACTTGGAGATTTCTCAATTGCCAAACATCATGCTATATCTCGGTCAGAAGTTTAAGCTGGTCCCGGAGTCAGATGAGGCAAAATTCAGAGTCAATCAATACTTCTTGACGATCATGGAGTGAGTCCTTCGGTTCTAACTGTGGTCTACTAATATCATACGTTCCCGTATTGTTAAGTCTCCAAAATGAAGCGCATGATGTCCATCATCCAATTTCTGGTATAACTTTTATGAGTATTATCAACTTTCAGGCCACCAACACTTTTGTCAGTTGTCCGTTACTACGAGGACCAGAAGGATGCTGCCAAGGAGCGTGCCAAAGAATTCCGCGAAGCACGTATCCCAAAACTTTTCAAGCATTTCGAGACTGTACTCTCAAAAAATAAGGAGAGCAAAGGGGAATGGTTATATGGCACAGACCTTACATATGCGGATCTTGCACTGTACCATCTTGTTAAAGGGGTGTGTTTTATCTATCTCTGTCATTCATTTTATCTTTTACAACCACCAAAATATCAGTTGCTATTTGCCTTTCCTCGTGCTGTCGGAGATATTCTGAACGATTATCCGAAAATCTTCGACCTTCATTGTCGAGTCAAGGCTCGTCCCCGTATTGCAGCTTACCTCGAGAGCGAGCGTTGCCCGAAGTTCTCCAATGGTCTGTATCGCCATTATGAGGAGCTTGATTCATCCGAGAAGGATGTTCCGGGGAAGGGAGGAAAAGAATAGGAAGCAGACTAAGGGATTTGCAGCAGATACAACAGAATGATATCAAATAATATACTTGCCAGATCCAGAGTATATCCCCGCCCGAGAACCCACACGGGTGGCAAATCTGCCGACGTCACAGCTAAATTGTATTAATTCAACAAAGCACTCAAGTCTTCTCGTAAATCGCGTCGACCATGTGGATGCACCTAGAGTGCATCAGCGCTCGACCGCTCACATACACTTTGCTCACTAATCTACACCTCTACACCTCTGCACTTTTGTCAGGTACAGTGACTCAGTGTATTAGTGTCCCAGTATACAGCCTAGGCCAGTCTCTTGCAAAGTATGTGAATGAATCACAAATTCATGCACTATAAGTTGTAAGTATATGAGCTCAATATAACCCACTTTGTCTGTTCTCCTGTAGTGTATTAATTTCTCCCCTCTTAGCCCAAAGAATGCATTACTGTAAATTGTATTGCCTTCCACAACATTAATGATTAACTGTACTTTGCACAGGTACCTCCTCCCCTCCTCCCCTCCTCCCCTCCTCCCCTCCTCCCCT